GCTGGAGAGAGGATGAAAAAAACACACACACTAAGTTTTGCAAATCACCTGAGAAGGGACTTCTATCTAGAAAATATAAAGAAAAACCAAAGTCTAAGAGCAGGAACACAGGCCCTACGCAGACAGCAGAGCTGGCTGACTGAAGCACAGCTGTCCCACAGACAACCACCATAACCGTCAGGTGGCGCTGCTTCATGTTGTACTTATATACCTCACTGGCCTCAAGTTCACCAGGAGCTCAACCAGCCACCCTGGCTTGCTTGCCTTCCTCACACAGCCCATTTCAGAAGCTGCACCACAAGAAGCCCAAACAGGAATACAAGCCATCTCTGACATGCTTGATTCTCCCAATTATCTGTCTTTTAAAAACAATGAAACTGGGGCTGGGAAGGTGGCTCAGTGGTAGAGCGCTTGTCTTGCATGCATGAGGCCCTGGGTTCGATTCCTCAGCACCACAAAAGCAAAAAGAAAAAAGCCGGAATTGGTGCTGTGGCTCAAGTGGTAGAGCGCTAGCCTTGAGCTGAAGAGCTGAGGGACAGCGCCCAGGCCCAGAGCTCAGGCCCCATGACCGGACCCCCCCAAAAAATAAATAAAAACAATGAAACTTAGAACAAAATTTGAGATTGTCAGAAAGCTACCATGGCTCCAAAGTTCTGCCCAACAGGCCCATGTCCCACTTTAGGTCCAAATTCATGAAAACCATTTGATAGCAAAATCTAGTCTATCATGAGCTCATTTGGGACAAAATCTGATGTGAATTGTTACAGGCAGTTTACAGACTGAGAGAATATTCATTGAATTTAGATATACAAAATACCCAGTTTATTCTCTGAACCGTCTTCCTGAATTCTGAAGATGTAAACCCTCAAGGGTCTGTCTTACAGTCGTGACTGGAGATCTCCTGAACCCCACAACCTGCTGCCGTCCGGGAAGCTCACTCACATCCTCGTGAAATACCTGCTATAGGCTGCCTACCCCGCTTCAGTTCAGAAAGAAGCGTTAACGAACTCATTAAGTCTAACAGAAATTATGGCTCATAATTATGCAGGTTATTTTTACCTCCTAGTTGGCTCCAGTGCAAAAGAAGTCAATCCCATGTCACCGTGACAGTGGCTACTCCACCTGTCTCAACCCCATGTGGCCCACTCAAACTCGTGCAACTAGGATGGCCTCCCACCAGCAATAATCTTCTGCCCCCAGTGGGTGCACTCCAATTCCTCCCATCCTGAGACGATACCTCGCTTACTCCTCCCTGGAGCCTCCTGGCTCCCCACAACGCTGTACTGCCTCACCCATACAACGTGGCCATTGAAGTGTGTCTTACGTTCCCCAGGAGCAGAGGCTAGGTCCTGGGTACTATGAATTTCATGCAAAGTCAAGACAACTGCCTGGCAGTTTTGGAATAAATGAATTGATCTGGGGAATGCTTGTCATTGTTCTAACAGGGAACATTTTATTTCAAGACATCAGCACAATTGTTACCTCCAAAGGGAGAAGGATTAGGGTTAGATTTTTCTCACCTAATCACATTCAAAATCTATGACTACAGCATTTCCAGAATAAAAGCATATTTGACTCCCTTTCCTGCCCCAACAATGTACAAACGACCACACGAGGCCAGGCTGACTCTTCAGCCCTAAATGCTGGTTAGGGTTCTACTCTCTCAAAAGAGGGAAGCAAGCCAATAGGCAGAATACAACTGGGTTTAGCTGGAAGACCTGACACACCTTGGACACCACAAGACACAAGGTAAGGCAAGTCTAGAAGAGAAACTAGAACTCCATTAATGGTCACTCCTGTGTGAAGCTCAAGAATCTACAAACAAAAATGACAGTAGATTGACTTCAAGACACATTACTGGCTTTGTGTGGTGAGACACACCTGTAGTGGTCTAAGGTGTAGGAAGATGGCAAGTTCCATTCCAGCCTGAGCTACATAACAAGACTATCTCAAAAACAAAACATCACAAAACAAACACATAGCTAAAGACCATGTCACTCTCCAAGGTTCTCTATGGGTCACAGTTAATGGCTCTGCTTCCTATAACTTCCAAGAGATAACACACAAAGAGATGTTGGGGGTAAGACAAAACAACCTGTGAGAAGAGAACCCAGAACCATGGGGCCCAGCACAGTGAAGTCTACATCACTAACAATGTGTGCAGCCAGAGACCGTGGGGCTCCCCAGAACTCAGATGCAAGCCTGCTCTCCCGGACCCTCGCTCTGGACATGATAAAGAGCCATGTCTACTTAAGCCTACCCCTCTTCTCACCTCCAGACACTGCTCACCGCCTGAGTCTCTTGGGCCTCCCCAATCCACTGTCTGGGCCTCTTCCCTAGACCTAAGGAGGGTCAGTTCCAGAACTTCTTACTGGACTGCCACTCTTTAGTTTGAACCCAGGCCTGATGCAACCAAGAATCCAATCCAGACACAACTGCCCTTAGCAGGACTTGTAGAGCTACTGATCCACAACCCCCTTACGGTCAATCTCTAGCTAGGTTCGGTGTGACTCATGCCCCCAGTAGAGGCCCTCCCCAGCTCCAACCTCCTCTCAGCAGACACCCTGCCCAATATGACCACTTCTGAGCAGAAGGCCTCCCCAGATCTGTCCAGGGGTCTCCGCAGAGGCCTCCCGGCTCTGCCCGGGTCTCAGCAGAGGCCTCCCCGGTTCTGAGCAGAGGCCTCCCCGGTTCTGAGCAGAGGCCTCCCCGGGTCTCCGCAGAGGCCTCCCGGCTCTGCCTGGGTCAGCAGAGTCTTCCCCGGGTCTCCGCAGAGGCCTCCCGGCTCTGCCCGGGTCTCCGCAGAGGCCTCCCGGCTCTGCCCGGGTCTGAGCAGAGGCCTCCCGGCTCTGCCCGGGTCTCCGCAGAGGCCTCCCGGCTCTGCCCGGGTCTCCGCAGAGGCCTCCCGGCTCTGCCCGGGTCTCCGCAGAGGCCTCCCGGCTCTGCCCGGGTCTCCGCAGAGGCCTCCCGGCTCTGCCCGGGTCTCCGCAGAGGCCTCCCGGCTCTGCCCGGGTCTCCGCAGAGGCCTCCCGGCTCTGCCCGGGTCTCCGCAGAGGCCTCCCGGCTCTGCCCGGGTCTCCGCAGAGGCCTCCCGGCTCTGCCCGGGTCTCCGCAGAGGCCTCCCGGCTCTGCCCGGGTCTCCGCAGAGGCCTCCCGGCTCTGCCCTGACTCCACCCCAGCGGCGACCCGGACGGAGCCGGCCGGGCCCCCGCAGGGACCCCCAGCCCGGCCGTGCGCGCCCAGCCGGGACGCTCCCGGCTGACCCGACCCGCGGCCCGGCGACGCCCTGGGCCGACCCAAGCCTCACCCTCGGCCAACACTCGCCGCACCCGCAGGCGCAACTCGCCCAGCTCCACCGTCTGTCCCACGAAGTCGCTCTGGTCGCGGCCGGCGGCCCCGCCCAGGGAGCCCGGGCCCGCCAGGAAATCCAGCGCGGACTGCAGCAGCGACATGGCGGCGGCCGCTCGGCGGCGGGCAGAGCCAGACCAGGGCCTCGGGGCGCGCAGGGCTCGGTCTCCGTCCCGCCGGTCAGCGGCTGCCGGCTCACAGCCCCGCCATCTTCCGCCCGCGCCGTGACGTGCGCACGTCGCGTCCTGACGCACATGCCCGCCCCTGCGCGGCGAGCGGAAGTGCGCCAGCCTCACTTCCGCCGCGCCGGCGCAGAGACGCCGGCTCGCAGCGACTTCCGGCGGGGAGCTCGCGGGCGGCGCGGACCGCAGGCGAGGTGCGCGGCCCGGCCTGCGCCGGCCCCGCCCCGGCCGCCGACCCCTCCCCGGTCGCCAGCCCCTCGGTTCGGGAGCGTCCAGTCCCTCACGCAAGGTCCTGCCTCAGGGGCGGGGCGGGGGTCGGAGGGCCGGGGGCGGAGGGTGGGCGGGGCCGGCGGCCGGGGCGGGGCCGGCGGGCCGGGGGGCGGCGGGTCGGAGGGCGGGGCCGGCGGGGGGCGGAGGGTGGGCGGGGCCGGCGGGTCGGAGGGCGGGGCCGGCGGGGGGGGCGGAGGGTGGGCGGGGCTGGAGGGCCGGGGGCGGAGGGTGGGCGGGGCCGGCGGGTCGGAGGGCGGGGCCGGGGGGGCGGAGGGTGGGCGGGGCCGGCGGGGCGGAGGGCGGGGCCGGCGGGGGGGCGGAGGGTGGGCGGGGCCGGCGGGGCGGAGGGCGGGGCCGGCGGGGGGGCGGAGGGTGGGCGGGGCTGGCGGGGCGGAGGCGGAGGGTGGGCGGGGCTGGCGGGGCGGAGGCGGAGGGTGGGCGGGGCTGGCGGGTCGGAGGGCGGGGCCGGCGGGGGTGAGGGCGCGGCGCGGCGGGGCCGGGGTCGGCGGGCCGTGGCGGGGCCCGGGGCCGGGCCGGGGCCAGAGGGCGGGACGGAGCGCGTGGTGGCGACGTTGGGCGCGCGCGCGGCCGGCGGCCTGGGCCCCGGCGGCCGGCTTCGCGGCGAGGCTCCCGGGGCCGCGCCGGTGCGCACGCGCTCCGGTCGTTCACCCTCGCCGCCGAGGGCCGAGGTGCGTGAGTTGCTACCAAGGACTGACGGGAGCGGGAACGCTCCGCGCGGCCGGGCCGGGCTCACCCCCTGGACGCCCAGCTGTTGGAAGCGCCTTTAGAGATGACCCACAGCCGCTCCCTCGGCCGCCGAGTGGGAAAGAGGAAAGCGCGCACCGCCAGCCGCCGCGGCGACGCCGGTGGAAGTGAGCTGTGAGGGGCTCCACGTTCGCGGACCCGACGCCAGGCCCTGAGCGGAGGCCGGAGGCCGAAGCCTCGGCTAATGGGAGGGGACAGGCCCTGAGCGGAGGCCGGAGGCCGAAGCCTCGGCTAATGGGAGGGGACAGGCCCTGAGCGGAGGCTGGAGGCCGAAGCCTCGGCTAATGGGAGAGGACGCCTCGGACGGGCCAGCAGCGCGCGGGTCTCGGAAAAGCGCTTTCCACCGGAAGTTTCCTCAAAGAAGACCCCAAATTTGGAGAGACTCGCGGGGAAGGCCTGCCAACAGTTAAGGAAGCAGTGACACCTTTCTGTGCAGAGATTCGGGGAGGACGGGTTTCTGAACTCACTCCCAGTCGCATTGTTCCAATCCCCGAACTTGATGAAGATGACTGGAAACCGGGCTGCCGGCGTTCCTGCACATCGTACACGTGCAGTCACAGTCGTTTTATTTTTCTATCAGGGAATTACTGTAATCCTCCATTATCGCTGTGTGTGACACTCAATTTCCTCCATTATCACTGTGTGTGTGTGAGAGACACTCAGTTTTCTCCATTATCACTGTGTGTGTGAGACACTCAATTTTCTCCATTATCATTGAGTGTGTGTGTGTGTGTGTGTGTGTGTGAGACACTCAGTTTCCTTGTTCCTCTGTACTGTCAACGATGCCTCAGCTGAGACCAGCATCCTTTTCAAAGTAATCTTTCACTTTTCCATATCCAGCTCCTTGTTTTGTGGCTAAACACTTCACTGGCACGCTCAGTGAAGTGTTTCTACTTCTTCCAGGCTCAGGTGACCTCCAGGCTCCCCCACCATGTCCAGGCCACAGACTCCAGAGCAGCCTCTGGATGCCCAGGGAAACTCATCTCCACACAGGAGGGTTGAAGACTCTGGGGAGGGAACCCAGAATTCCCACCGAATGCTGGGCTTCAGTGATGCACTCCTGTCCATCATCGCCACCGTTATGGTCAGTGCATGGCCCATCTCAGACCCACACTAGGTTGTTGGCACATCCTATGGTCCCCTAGAACCCTAGGCAGTTGGAGGTACACAGTATTGTCCTCAAGACCAAGCTTGATACCACTGTCTGCAAAGGGTGCCCTGTCCATGAAGTGTCTCTCAGTTTCTTTTGTCTTTGTTCTTTTAGATCCTGCCTGTGACCCACACGGAAATCTCCCCAGAGCAGGTAATGGGAACAGGCTGTACTTTGGTACATGTGGCTTGCCCTGGGCTTGAGGAGCTAACTACATCTTGTAAGCACCAGAACCCAAAGCAAGGTGCTGGTGGAGCATGTAGGGCAGGGCATCTGTGCATCTTCCCAATAGGGTTTCTTATCCGTGCAGATGTGGGCAGTGGACAAGGCCGAATCTTTGACAAGCAGCAGTACCTTCATTCTGGTGAAGCCTCCTATGTGGGGCCCTAGCTAAAGAGCATGGGCTACCTCATTATAACACTCCCTCTCACTTTATCAAGAGTAAGAGCTCTGCCTCGATCAGAATTTCCTCCCTGCGCCTATCTCCAGCTACAGGCTTTCAGCCAGTGTCCACCTTAGCAGGCCTGTCCTGTTTGTGATCCTACAGGCACTTTTAGAGGTACTGTTGCCTATGGCTGTTTGGAATTGTCAGTTTGACCCTGTAGTGGTGTATCTATGTTCCTCCAAAATTCACTTGTCAGAATTTAAATCCCCAAGTAATTAGGAGGTGCTTAATGACTAGAAGCCCTTTGCCCTATGTTATTTCTGGTGTCTTAGGCCACCTAGATAACGCCCTCTGCAAAGATCAAACCCAGATTACAAAGCTGTTGGCAGCCAAGGTCCTTTGCCACTTGCAGTAATGGTTTTGAGGCTTGTGTAAGGGAGGCTGCTGTGGTAGCGTCCAGCCTTGCTGGACCTCAAACAGTGCAGCCTGATGGCACTCTGAGGCTAGGGCCCTGCTTAAGGCTTTCACTTCTGGTCTGCGGCAAAGCCGTGCTCTCGAGATGACCAGTGCTATGTTATACATGTTGCTTTGTTTTAATGACAGTGTTCTTTTACTCTAGCAATTTGACAAAAGCATACAGAAACTTCTAGCAACTAGAATCGCTGTCTACCTGATGACATTTCTAATCGTCACAGTGGCTTGGGCAGCACACACTAGGTAAGGGTTCAGTCTTTTTCAAAGCAAGGTCCTCATTATTATTACTTGCTCGGGGATGGTGCCAGGTGCAGTGGACAGCTGTAGTACCTTAGAGATGCATTGTTCTCAGGTTATCGTGGGTCCCCGATCACATGCTTTGTCCCAAAGGGGTTGGGGTCAGTAGACCACCCTTTCTTGCCCTGAGACCTCTTCTTCTGGGCCTCATGCTCAAGATAGTGAAGAGTGGACATGCTCACTCCAAGGCTCGGCCTGTCTGTGGAACCACTCAGAGCTCTGCTAAATTTCCGATCTGAGGTGGGAGGCTAAAGTGTCCACCTGGTAGAAACCATTGCAAGACCAAGACAGCAAGGAGAAGGAAAGCCCTGTTGGCATGACTGTGTCCCATGAAATGCCAGCAGATCATGACCCCTCCTGTGTGGAGGTTAAACTTACAGGATGTGCTGAAGGGCCCAAGCTTTGTCCTGGATAGGGTCCATGATACAGGGGCCTAGATCTATGGGGCCCCAGCAACTGACCGTGTGCAGACAGGGACAGGAAATATCCAGAAGTGACACTGGGGTGGTACAGGTCAGCCTACTAAAAGGAAATGCTTGTCAGGGAATGCTGGAAGTGCGGGAAAATACATGAATTCTGTTAAGTACTTGCCCCTGTGCTGAACATGTCACCTATTACTATCACAAGGATGTTCTCAGCAAAGTGACTTTGTTCTTGGCGCCAACAGGACTTTCCTCTCTGCTTTCATTATTCACGGAGCACTTTTTTGTGAGGAAGAGAGGAAGAAGGGCTCTTCTGCAAACCTTGCCTGGACCAGTTTTTTGGTTCACTCACTAGAGATCCATACCTGCTGTGGAGCACATCCCCAGCAGGGTGGGTGGCAACCGGGAGAACCCGCAGCAAGCTTCTTGTGTCTGCTCTGCTTCCTACCTGGGCTGCTTGCCTGCATACATGGTCCCGTCATGGGTAGCTAATAGAGCTGCCATCTGTGAGCAGCTCAGGAATAGCCCCTGCTATTCAGCTTGTTCGTGAAGAACACAGTCCTGAGTGAGCTGGTCCAAGCACTGGACTGGAGGCAGAGTTTCCAGGTTGTGGATTCTGGCTCTACCAAGGCCAGTGCAGGAAACCTCTTGCCACACAGGACTTAAATCTGCCCACCTGGGACATCTTTCAGCCTGGCTTCCCTGACAGCCCTCAAGCCCTAGAGCTACCATAGCATATTTCTGCATTTTAGCTGTTGAAAATCTCTGTGTTAAAAAGCAAGATGGTGGGGATATGAGAGAATTTGTTTTCTCTCAATTTTCCAAAGTTCATATGCAAGGTAGTATTTCATATTTGTTCAAAAGTGGCATCTTCTTGTATGTTGATGGCTCACTCCTATAATCCTACTACTTAGGAAGCTGAGATCTGATGATCTTGCTATTTCCAGCCTGGGCAGGGAAAGTCCACGAAACTCTTATCTCCAATTAGACACCAAAAAGCTGGAAAAGGAGAAAGAAAAAAAAAGCACAGGGAAAATACCCAGGCCCTAAGTTTAAACCCCAGAGCTTTTCTTCCCCCTCAGAAAAAGTGGTATCTTCAGCCAGGCACTGGTGGTGCACACCTATAGTCCTAGCTATGTGGGAGACAGAGATTGGGAGGACCAGGTCTTCAGGCCAGTCAAGTTGAAGTCAATGAGATCCCATCTCTGGGTGCAGTGACATGAACCTGTCACCCCAGTCCAGGCCCATGCCCAAGCAGGAAGTCAGATCTGACCTCCAAGTTAACTATTGCAGAAAAGGGCTGGAGGTAAGCTTCAGCAGTGGAGCGCCTACCCAGCAGTCACTAGGTCCTGAGTTTAAACTCTTACCACGAAGGCAAAAGAAAAAAAAAAGGGAAATAGTTGACATTTTAACTAGAAAATACTAGGGAAGGTGTGTATGTGCTTAATCTTACTGCAGTCATCTTTGAATGATGGCCCATCTTTTGTTTTTCTGAACTTTAGATTGTTCCAGGTTGTTGGGAAAATAGATGATACGCTTGCCTTGCTCAACTTGGTGAGTTTTTTTGTTCTTCAGGGAAATAACTTGAGTTTTAGTTTAACCCAGGAGGAAGGGGAGGAATCGTGAGCTGCTGTTCTTGGAACCTCGAGCTGCTTAGGGCCTAGAATCCATTCCGTACCTGGAAGCTCCTCAGAAGTCTCCCAGGGGACGCATTTGTGCCATCAGAGGCATAGGCTTCTGAAGTGTCTGGGCTTGGGCTCTGAGACTCTGCCTAGCCTGGCCCCCTCTGGAGCAGTGGGGACCTGGGGTCCCTTGCTGCCCCCCCCGGGGTGCCCCTCCCTCCTCTCCAGGTTGCACAGTGACCATGACCCCCTTCCTTCCAGGCCTGCATGATGACCATCACCCTTCTTCCATACACAGTGAGTAGTGTTCAGCCCCCTGCATCCCTAAGCCTCTTCCCATGTGTGGCTGTCCTCAGAAATGCAGACCACAGGCTGCAGAGGAGAAGGGTCTAGAAAGCTAGAGGCTGTCACGCTAAGTGGAGGAGGGAGTTCAGGGTTCCTGGAGGCAGACACCCCTGAGCGAAGGGCTGCTGATGCCTTCCATCACCACCCTCACCCACCGCACAGTCCTGTGCTCATCCTGATGTGGGTCGCTGGCTCACACAGGCAGAGGATTCAGATCTGAGGGACTTCCGATGAATCTGATATGGTATCTGATGATACTGTTTCTTTAAAAGCCTGAAACAGCAGTGGGGTTTCTGCCACGATGGGCAAGCCCACCACCTCCACACTGCTATTAGCCACTCTGATAATCGCCTTCCCAATGCCCACACAGAGACAAGGAGGCTTACTGTGCCCTAGCCAGGGTCTGGGAACTGTGGTAAATGTCAGGATATTTTGTGATTTTTTTTTTTTTTTAACTCAGTTTTCTTTAATGGTGACCTTCCCTGATGTTCCTCTGGGCATCTTCTTGTTCTGTGTGTGTGTGATCACCATTGGCACTGTACAGGTAGGCAGGGTGTATGTATATGTGTGGATTTGCCATGGAGCATGCAAATGGGGTACCTGCCCTGGACTTCCACATCCCAAGGAGCCTAGACTCTGCCTGTGAACATAGGTAGGGTTTGGAATACTCAGAACCCCACCTGCTGACCAAGCCCACTCTTCCCACCCTAGTATCCATTCCCGGGACATCCCAAGATACTTGCCTGCCCTAGAATCCTTTTAACCCCAAGTTCCTGCATGTGTGCATGCGTATGTGTGTGTGTGCACGCGCACGCGCCCGTGTTTATGCGCACGTGTGTGTGCACTCATGTGCATGTGTATTGGACAGCCCAAGGGCTGGCTGGCCACAATATTCCCTCTCCTTGTTTCTTCTGCAGGCACTGATTGTGGGGTATGCCTTCCACTTCCCACACCTACTGAACCCCAGAATCCAGTGTTCTGCACACAGGGCCCTGTCCCGGCAGCACATCCTGCGCCTTGTCCTCCGTGGCCCAGCACTGTGCCTAGTTGCCGCTGTTTTTTCCCTCTTTTTCTACCCTATGGTGAGTATTGGGTCACCCCCAGGGGAGCTTAGTCTATTCTCAAAAATCAAGGCCTGGGGCTGGGAAGGTGGCTTAGTGGTAGAGCGCTTGCCTTGCATGCCTGAGGCCCTGGGTTCCATTCCTCAGCACCACATAAACAAAAGGAAAAAAGCTGGAAGTGGCGCTGTGGCTCAAGTGGTAGGTAGAGCGCTAGCCTTGAGCTGAAGAGCTGAGGGACAGCGCCCAGGCCCATAGTTCAGGCCCCACGACTGGACCCAAAAAAAAAAAAATCAAGGCCTAAGTTTAACGGAACAAGAGCACTAGTAATAGAGACAAATGCTAAGGCACGTTTCAGCCATAGAAGCTGTCGTTGACTGTAGAAACTAACCTGTGGTACAGAATCAACATGAGCACTACTGAAAAACAGAATTTTTCAACCAAAGCATCTGGGGAATAGTGAAAAAAAAAAAACAATTGTTATTTTAAATGTGCTGCAAGCATTTCAAGAGCACTGTAAGCATAAAACAGTAAGGCCTGTGGCCACTGCAGAAGTCATTCCTTGAGGCTTGGGCGGGCTCTCCCTCCCACGTGAGGAGTGTGATGTGCAGGGTGAGGTCCAGAGTGCTGACAGGTAGGTGAGGGTCAAGCAGCACACCATCTGGGAAGCAAGCCCCAGCCATGCGTGCCTTCAGAGACTTAACCTGATGCTCATGGGGCAGGAGGGAGGAGTCCCAGAGTTGCTGAGAGTCAGTGGCACAGGCTGCCTTGTGGAGAGGGGGTCACTGGCCCCCGCTGGCCGAGGTAGGAACATGGATGAGGGAGGCAGGTGTGGCCAATGTGTGGAAAGGAGTGGTCAGAATGATCAGGCAGAGCTCTGGAAAGACAGGTGCACAGCAAGGACAGTTTAGAGGGACCACAGTCTTAGAGGCCAGTACTGGCTCGAAAGGTAGATCTTTTCCATGGGTATAACCAGGTGGTTCAGGAGTATCTGACAGGGCAGGACCAGAGGTGAGTGATGGAGCAGGGCAGGCAGGCAAAGCCTAGGGCAGAGGTCCATCTTCTGACAGCCTGGACATGGGGCTGGGAAAACTAGACAGGGCAGGTGAGGCAGGTGGCCCGTAGGAGAGGCTGTGAACTACTCGAGTTCGCCTGTGTTTGTAATATGCATTGAAATTGTATTCGTTTTCACTGCCCAATGATAATTCAGTGTGTCTGGGACACACTTTGCCTGCCATTCTCAATTGACTGACACTTCAACATTGTGGCCTCTTATACATACTGCTCCTGTGAACATGTGTCTTCATATCTTTCAGTTATTTTCTGTATGTGCCCAGAACAAGGATTGCCAAATCATGGGGTCGTTCTGACTTTGCTTTTTTATTGTTTTTGTTTTTTGCCAGTCCTGGGGCTTGAACTCAGGGCCTGGGCACTGTCCCTAAGCTTCTTTTTGCTCAAGGCTAGCACTCTACCACTTGAGCCACAGCACCACTTTCAGCTCTTTCTGTTGATGTGGTACTGAAGAATCGAACCCAGGGCTTCATGTGTGCTAGGCAAGCACTCTACCACTAAGCCACATTCCCAGCCCCCTGATTTTAATTTTTTAAGGCACCCTATACTGTTTGTTTGTTTTTTTTTTGGGGGGGGGGGTCTGGTCATGGGGCCTGAACTCTGGGCCTGGGCGCTGTCCCTCAGCTCTTCAGCTCAAGGCTAGTGCTCTACCACTTGAGCCACAGCGCCACTTCTGGCTTTTTTCTTTTTGCTTATGTGGTGCTGAGGAATCGAACCCAGGGCCTCATGCATGCAAGGCAAGCGCTCTACCACTGAGCTGCCTTCCCAGCCCCCCATACTGTTTTCAAGTTGCTGGGCTGTTTACGGTCCTGCCTGCACTGAGCCGCCTTCCCAGCCCCTCATACTGTTTTCAAGTTGCTGGGCTGTTCACAGTCCTGCCTGCAGTGCTCAGGTTGTGCTTTGGCCACACCACCTGTCACTTTGCCTTTGTGACTCTAGCTGTCCTGATGGCTGTAATTTCCCTAGGGACTAGGATACTGAGCAGCTTTGCAGCTGTTTGGCTTGTTGTGCATTTACATATCTTCTTTACAGAAATGTCTTTTCAAAGTCTCTCCTGTTTCTTAGTTGGGGGTCTTTGACTTCAGTTGAGCTCTGCTAGTTTTTTATGCATTCTGGATACTAAGCTCTTCCCAGGCAAGCATTTTTTCTTCTGTTCTTTATCTCTTTAACCCATACATCCTTATTTCAATAAAGGACAATTTCCTAAAGCCAGGTATGGTGGCCCACATCCATAATCCCAGCTACCTGGAGGGCAGAGGCAGGAGGATCGAGAGTTCAAAACCAGCCTGGGCAAAAGTAGCAGCAAGAATGTCTCAAAAACAAAAAGAGGGGGTTAGGTGGGTGATAGCTTTCCTAGTATGTGCAAGGCCCTAGGTTCAAATCCCCAGTACTCAAAAAAGAAAGGAAGTGGCTTAGTGGTAGAGTACTTGCCTAGCATGCATGAAGCCCTGGGTTCAATTCCTCAGGACCACATAAACAGAAAAAGCCAGAATTGGTGCTGTGGCTCAGTGCCCAGGCCTTAAGTTCATGCCCCAGGACTGGCAAAAGAATAAAGAGAAAAGCAAAAAGTCGAATTCCCTGGTTTTCCCTTGTTACTCCTGCCGTCCCTCTCTGGAGCAGCGGGATGGGATTCTTGGCTGTCTAGGTACCAGGTGGTAAGCAGTCTCTGCTCTGAAGGAGGCAGACCCTGATTTGTCATGTCTCCCCACAGTCATACCTACTGATGGTGACCATCATCTTCCTCCCCCACGTCAGCAAGGCCACCAGCTGGTGCAAAGTCAGGCTCATGGGTAGGTGACCATACACCTCTACGCTGAGGCCCCTGAGAGGTGCCACTGGACCTCAGGCCACTCCTGAGAACTGTTAAGTGGGGCCGGGTGTGAACATGTAGTAGCCCTGAGCTTGCTCCACTGTGCACAGCCCAACCCTGGCTCTGGGCTTACTGGGGACGGGCTGCAACTTACCTTCAGGATCTGTGCCACTTCCTTTCCTGGCCTAGGACACATTCCTGGCCCTTGGGGAAGAAAGCAGGGTGTGGCTACCCAGGCACCACAGCCCCACAAGTGGCTGGCTGCCCCTCTCTCCTGCCACGCCCACAGGCCGCCAGGAGCCCCCAGCTCGTAGTGTGGAACCTTTCAGTTTTGACCTGCATGCACCCCTCAGCAAGGAGCGGGTGGAAGCCTTCAGTGACGGTGTCTACGCCATTGTGGCCACGCTTCTCATCCTGGACATCTGGTGAGGATCCCAACTGGTCTGCCCCAGCCTGTCTGCCAGGTAGCAGTCTGAGTTGGTATCTAACCCTAGACACTCCAGAAAGGCATTAGTTCAGTGCCAGCCTTCCCTTGGGTGTCAGAGCTCTATGCAGTGAGAAGGTGAGCCAACCTTAAGAGGTGCAAACCCATCCTACCAGCTCCCAACCTGACAGCCCAAGCAGAGGCTAGGGTGCCAGGGAGAGGCAGCTTCTGCAGTGCCACCCTGCGCCCCCCACCCCAAAGCTCTGCTCAGAGGGATGAGTTAGCTCCCCAGGCCCTAGACCCTTTCCATATCTCATTAGAAGCCATCTCCTTCTTCCACTAATGGCTCTTCTGCTCAGCCTGACTTGTCAATGAAAACCTGTTAGAGCGCTCATCTCCGTGCTCACTTTATTTCCAAGTTCAGTCTGCCATCCCAAGCCTCCCAGCCCCCTTATGCTGTAGTTCCTTAGTTACATTCCAGTGCACTCTTACTTCATTAAATGTGTTGCTGCACTCTGGCTTTATGTTTTGTATCTGATAGTCTGACTCTTCTGGTACTGAGTATCCTTTTCCTACTATCAATTTTTCCTACTGTCAATTTTTAAAAATTGAAAGCAGATGTTCCCAAGTACCTGATTCCGAAGGCCTAAACTTAAGGAACATTCCTGAACAATCTGGCTTTGTGTCTGCCCTGCAGCCAGGGCTTGACTGGTCATGGTCCCTGTAACCTATAACCAAGGACTGGCAACTGCAGCCGCGGCTGGGGTGGGGAGCATGCCCTTTATGCAGGGCTGCTGCCCCTGCTGAGAAGCTGCTTGAGGTCTCGCCAGCCCAGCCTGGCTCTGCCCACTGTTTTGCAGAATGTAGGTCTTGCCTGCGTAAGGGCCTTGTCGTCCATGCCCAGTCGACAAGATGCCATTGCTAGGCCATGCCTTGAGAGAGCGGCAGCTGCATCAGGGTGCCCTTGGTTTCCAGCATGATCAGCAAGATGCAGGGCAGAAGCAGGGCTCCGATGTGGAGCTGCCCCAGCTGTAGTCTCCCATCAGGGACTCACCCTGCCCAACCCACCAGCTTTTGGACTAGCAAGTAGGGCTGCCACTTGGCAAGGAGCATACATCAGTTACTGCAATTCAGGCGAACAGAGGTAACTTACGTTCAGTACTTTAAGTATATGTAAGTGCAGACTAATGAGCATTTTGTGTGCAGCTAGTGTAAGCCAGCCATTCATCGGAAACTCACTTTGCTAGCCCACCTCTCCGTCCCTCTGAAGGCTGGTACAAATGCCCTCTGTTCACACTTCCCAGTGAGGACAATGTTCCAGACCCCAAGGACGTGCAGGAGCAGTTCCACGGCAGCCTCGTGGCCGCCCTGGGTGCACACGGGCCACAGTTCCTGGCGTACTTCGGCTCCTTTGCCACGGTGGGTCTGCTCTGGTTTGCCCACCACTCGCTCTTCCTGCACGTCCGCAAGGCCACGCAGGCCATGGGGCTGCTGAATACCCTCTCGCTGGCCTTCGTGGGCGGCCTTCCCCTGGCCTATCAGCAGACTTCGGCCTTCGCCCAGCAGCCCCGCGACGAGCTCGAACGTGTGCGCGTCAGCTGCGCCATCATCTTCTTTGCCGGCATCTTCCAGTTTGCCATCTGGACAGCGGCCCTGCTACGCCAGGCAGAGACACTGCAGCCTTCAGTGCAGTTTGGTGGACAGGAGCATGCCTTCATGTTTGCCAAGCTTGCACTATACCCCTGCGCCAGTCTGCTGGCCTTTGCTGCCACTTGCTTGCTCAGTCGGTTCAGCACTGCCATTTTCCACCTCATGCAGATCTCAGTACCCTTTGCATTCCTGCTGCTGCGTCTCCTCATGCGCCTTGCCTTGGCAGGCCTGCGGGCCCTTCAAGGCCTCCGGCCAGCACACCCTGTGCCCAGCCAGGCAGAGGCTGAGGCTCAGTCCCGGCTCCTGCCTGCCTCCTGCTAGCACCAAGGAGGCTGCTGCTCACCACCAGAAAGATGGAGCCGAAGAATGGACTGGCAGGGGACCACTGTGGCCCTGGGGCTACGATCTTACTTGCTTGGATATTCTATCCATTGTGAAATACTAAGGTCTGTTTTAGAGTACAAAAATTGTTCTACTTTTTGTAGTGAGGAGCTCCCGGGGACTCATTTTATTGCTTTGACTCATCTACTTTTCCTCTTCACCCAAGATTGGGATGGTGTTTGAGACAGCAGGGCCCGACCAGGGTCCCAGAGCTCCTTTCCTTCTTCCTGCCCAATCCTGCATGTGGCTAGAGGCCACTGCTCTCTTGGGGGCCCCAGGGGCAGTTGTTCCTTCCTGAGACTTGGCTGGTCAAGCAAGGAGGCTGCTGTCTGAGGAGCTAACCACTCGCGGCCCGCCTCCACAGGCTGCCAGTCCGTCTACCCCTGCCCTGCACACGGGTTGGACAAAGACAAGGGCAGCACAGTGAAGCCCAGACTGTATTTGTCCCAGATATAAGTTAGGTCACATTCAGGTAGCGATAAATTACATACACAGAGGACCAGTGCACAGGGGACAGACTCACTTAAATACAGAGGACATGCCACACAGGCCACAATTTACAAATAATTCCCACAGATTGAAATCAAAGCAAAAACTGTCCCATCGAGGATTACAAATGATGTAAACATGAGGAATGTCTACACTGAGACCACAATGGCCGTAAGATGCATTTGTGCAGTTTTGGCAGAAGCGAGGGAGGGCACCACTGAGCACTCAGTGGCACCACGCATGGCCCAGGAGGCTGCAGGCCAGAAAGGACACACCCTGGGCTGTGGCACAACCACTTCTGAGCAGTGCACACTCAGTGCCAACCAGCAGGGAAGGATTTGGACATGTATCCCCTTTCTTTGGGAGTGGGGGTCTCAGACTTCCACATAGGCTGCTCATCTTTTGGTCATTCCTGAAGGGTGTGAGGTATGACAATGAATTCTTGGGCACATGGAAGAAACATTCATCTCACTCCCACTGGGCCGTCTGTAAGGACAATGCCCCCAGCAAGGCCTGGCCAGCAGTGTGGAGTGTGGGAACTGGGCAGCATTCTGTACCACCAGGGAAGAGCTTTGGGGCTGGCAGATAGTGTGTCTATAAAGTGCTATAATCATAGTTGAGTCCAAGGGTATGAAGGCTTCTTCGCGCGCACAGGTGTCACCTACACTCCCACCAAGCCCACCTCAAGTTCCTTCAGGCAGGAAGCACTTCACGCGGGGAACAGGGTTAGGCGTGGCCCGGTCATCCTCCAGCTGCTGGGCAGGCAGTCCAGAAGCCCGATGCAGCTCGCCACAAGATCACCAGAGCAGAGGCACTGGGAAGGGCAGTCAAGCCCAGCTGGCACTGCGTGGGCTTTGTAATGGCCACTTATGTTCCAAGGGTCCATCTGCAATGATGAGGCCAGCAAATGAGGTCACCCTGCCCAGCAAGGGGCTGGCCATACTTCCCACCGGTAAGCATGAGTACTGGCAACGTTCTGCATCGGCTGGGTCAGGGACAGGATGGAGCACTGAATGAGGCCCACCTGGATGACCTGCACCCATGGCTACCTGGCTCAGGTGGTGCGAAGGGAGAGGTGCCCAGGCCATACCTGCTCCCCCTGAAACTCCTTGTGACTGGTGCGGGTACAGGCCCAGCCTGAGCCTCGTGTCCACCTGCCAAGCAGACTAGTACTGGAGCCAAGGGAGAAATGGCCAGCCCCTGCCAGCACTGTCCTGGTGACATCAAGTGATGATGAGGGCCCAGGAAGATGCTGTGATCAAGGCTGCAGCCAAGTCCCTCTGCTGGCCGGCCAGTGTGCAGAACATGGGATAGACAGAGCCCCCTCGATGTCTCCCCTCTACTTGGGATCACCCTCGGGAGCAGGCAAGGCGTCAGCGTGAGCGTCCCTGGCGGTGCCAGCCTTCCTGGGCTTCTGTTTGGCCTTCCGCAGCATGTGGACCTGTCCCCAGGTCAGAGGATCAGGTTAACAGCAGTTCACAGCCCTGGGACTCTATGGCCAGTGTCCATTAGGCTCTACAGAAGGGCAAGGGCCTGGCAAGGCTCCCTGCTCAGCATGGCCTTGTTTCCACTGGATGGTGACACCCACCCGAGGCTGCCCTCACTGGGGCCCCACCATACCATGGAATCAGGAAGGCTCAGGCCCATCCCATCTCGGCTCTCGGCCAAACTCGCATACCTTAGGACCAGCTGCAGAGATGATCATGTGCCCTGGAGCCTGGATCCAGGGCTCCCCATCCACCTGCACGGGGGTGGCCTTGAAGAGTGTGACCCGGAAGTATGAGCCCTGGGCAATGCGGATTCCAGAGCGTAGTCCACCCTGCACCTGGCCCTGGGCAGGTGAAAGCTGAGTTTAGTTAAGCCCATGGTACCACAAGGGCACCTGCAGGCCAGCCAATGCTCACCATGTGCACAACTCCAGTCACACCTACTACCTCCAACAGCCCATCGTCCATGCGTGGCTTCTCAAACCTTGAATCACTGTCGGAGCCCCACAGGTCGGCCCCAGAGCCCCAGCTGCCCCAAGAAGATGGAGAGACACACACATTAGGCACAGGCTGGACATAGCTCCTGCCCTGGGGCCACACAGCCCATAGGAGCTCAGCTGCATACCTGGGTATATTGATGAAGATGAGCCCCTCAATGCTGGGCAGCTCCACCTCCTGCTGCTCCACTTGCAGCCGGATCCCCTTGTGCAGGCCTCGGGAGCGGCTGATCTTCTGCAGCCCAACCCGCACATACACACCCTTGTTGTGGAACCTGCCAAAGACGATGTACCCACCATCGCTGTCACCTTGCTGACATCAAAGGGTTCTGCATCCCCTGCCTTGCTGTTCCAGTACCTGCTTGTGAACTTGCCAGGCTCCTCCTCCCGTGCCTGGTGGAAGTCCAGGCTGAGCTCTGCATCGATGCCAATGCCACAGTAGTTACTCATCTGCACAATCTGGAGACAAAAATATCACCAGGATCTGGACAGGCCCCAGGCACTCCTGAGTGCCCCCAAGATGTATCCAGTTCTCTCCAACCCTGCTCTGCTGTGGCCAGATTCCCCTTGCTGGGGCTGCCCTGCTCAGCTGTCGGTACTCCAGAAGGAGGCAGTGTGCTGCACCGCACAGCAGCTTTGGAGCCAGGCACAGCCAGGTGGAGGAGAGCACGTCAGCAAATGTGGGAGTTACACTCAAGAACCCAGGAGGGGATGCACTGGTACCTTGGGTGGCTCCAAGTCAGCCGCCTTGTCCTCTGCACTCCCCATCTCATGGGCATCTAGCAGGATGGTCCAGCGGTCCACGAGCACAGAGTCAGCCTCATCCACAGACAACAGCACAGAGAACGGGTCCTCGCCGTTGTAGCCTGCCCCCCAGCGGAGGACCCGACCAAGGTCGTTCCCTGGGAAACAGGCAAGACAGCGTGACCCATCCCACAGGACAGAAAAACCTGGCAGGGATGAGGTCTGAGACTCCATCCTCTGAGTTAACAGCTGAGCCCACCTGTGCCCAGGGGCAGGATCGCCACAGATGGCTCTGGGCAGGCCAAATGGTGCCGGATCTCCTCCAGGGTGGTGAGCACCCAGCCCACAGTGCCATCCCCGCCACATACCAGCACCCGGAAGCAAGGCACCTGGGAGAACAGGTGAAACCTGCGTGGGAGACAGGAAGCGTTCTCTACCGCCCGGATGCAACACAGCAGGAAGGTGGCTACCCGGCCCCCAGGACAGAACCAGACTAACTCATCCCTGCTCTGGACAGCTCTTTCCTGCCACAGAACTGTCTGGCAGCAGAACTTTCCAGGAGTGTATAGTTAGTTGGGAGTTCCCACTTGCCACAGACAGGAGTCTGGATTACCCCTCCCACCTGCTGGGTAGACTCAGACTCACCCAGGAAGAGGCCCTCCATTGGTCAGCTCAAAGACCTGATGTGGGTTCAACAGCTTCCGGAAACTACAGAGCAGGTCTCGGCCCTTGAGGCCCCCACTCTTGGGGTTCACAAACACAAGAACGGGGCTGCAGTCTGGGGGCAGCTTTGTGTGCTAAAAGGTAGGGAGTTGGGTTAGGGTGTAGCCAAAGTGCCTCCCTGGGGCAGACCCGGAGGCCAGGCCGGGGCCAGCCCCAAATGAGGAACCACAGGGCTGTGCCTTCACAAAGAAGCACCCCAAACTGCCCTCCCTCACAGATTCCCCTTCAGCCCCTGGGCGGAGGTTGTCTGCCTGGCCCTACCCACCATGACCTGCATCAAGGAGCCACACCCACCAGGCCTGGCTATCACAGGCCCAAGTTGGAAACCTACAGGTTCCCGCCCAGCACTGATGGCTAGTTCTCATGGAGGCGAGTGAGCCTCGTCCAGGGCCTCATCTATCCCCTATCAGCCAGGATAGCTTTGTTCACAGAGCAACCATGCATCCCCTTAGCCATGAGACAAAAATCTATCTCCCCTGCCATGTAACCTGAGAGACAGTGCCAAGAGGCTAGACAGTGAGCCAACTGGAGTCCCTCCACAGGGCAGGCGCACAGGAGACAGACATGCCTCGCGAAGGCACAGGCTAGACCCTGGCTGGAGCAGGGACACACTTGGGGCTGCATGACCCACTGGGCCACCCACCTGCACTCACCACTCACCTGGGGATGGGCAGCTGACAGGAGAGAAAAGGGGGGGGGTCAGCCTCATGCCCAGCTACAGAGAGAGCCAGGGCCAGGGGCAGGTGACAAGGCAGTCTTGTTCCTATGGGCGGTGGGGACAGCCACTTGCCCTAACTAGCTAAATGCAGAACAGAAAAAGCCTATAGGATTACCCATCCCAGCCAGATACCCCTAAACTCATCTTCCTAGGATTTGCTTCTTCTGGACCAGGGCTGGGACCAGGGTGTAAGTACCACAGACATCATAGACCTAGTGGGGCCTTCAAGTGAGAACGAGACCTCTGTGGCTACGCAAGATAACCCTTCCGTCCTCCCCAGGTGCCATGCCCACAGCATGCCAACTAGGTGCCCTCTTCCTATCTGTCCAGGTTGTAAGGGCAGCATCATAAGTCAGGGAGCCCCATCTACTGGCCAGAGGTGGCCCTAAGATCCCAGGCTGTCAGGGTGGGGTGGAGCGGGTGTCATACTCAGGAACACACCTGA